TAATCTCCCAAAACTGAATCAGAAAGAAATAGAAAATTTGATCAGACTGATTACCAGCAATGAAATTGAATCAGTAATAAGAAAATTCCCCAAAAATAAAAGTCCAGAACCAGATGGCTCCACAGGTGAATTCTACCAAATATTTAAAGAAGAATATGTATTCTTCTCAAATTAGTCTCAAAAATAGAAGTGGAAGGAAAGCTTCCAGATTCATTCTGTGAGGCTAGCATTACCTTGATACCAAAGACAGATAAAGACATTACAAAAAAAAATATAGAACTACAGACCAATATCTCTGATGAACATAGACGCAAAAATCCTCAACAAAATAGTAGCAAACCAAGCTCAATTAATACCTAAAAAAATTATTTGCCACAGTCTAGTGGGATTTATTTTTGGGATGCAAGTGGGTTTGATATGTGCAAATCAATCAATGTGATACATCACATCACCAAGAGAAAGGATAAAAACCATATGATCATTTCTTTTTTTTTAAATTTAAGACTATATGATCATTTCAATAGATGCAGAAAACCATTTGACAGAATACTACTTCCATTCATGATAAAAAACCCTCAACAAAGTAGGTTTAGAGGGAAGATGCCTCAACATAGTATCTTATTTTTTCACTCTCACCACTTTAATTCAGTATAGTTCTAGAAGTCCTAGCCACAGCAATCAGACAGGAAAAAAAGCCATCCTTACCAAATTGGTAAGGAAGAAATAAAACCTTTACTATTTGCAGATGACATGTTACTATACCTAAAAAACCCTAAATAGTCCACCAAAAAAACTACCAAAACTGATAAATGAATTCAATAAAGTTGCAAGATACAAAATATACAGAAATCCATTGCATTTCTATACATTATTAAGGAAATAGCAGAAAGAGAATTTAAGAAAAAAGTCCCATTTACAATTGCACCAAAAATAATACCTAGGGGGATCCCTGGGTGGCGCAGCGGTTTGGCGCCTGCCTTTGGCCCAGGGCGCTTTCCCGGAGACCCGGGATCGAGTCCCACATCGGGCTCCCGGTGCACGGAGCCTGCTTCTCCCTCTGCCTGTGTCTCTGCGCCTCTCTCTCTCTCTCTCTCTCTCTCTGTGACTATCATAAATAAATAAAAAAAATAAAAAAATAATACCTAGGAATCAATCAAGAAAGTGAAAGACCTGTATTCTGAGAACTACAAAACATTGATGAAAGAAACGGAAGATGAGGGATCCCTGGGTGGCGCAGCGGTTTGGCGCCTGCCTTGGGCCCAGGGCGCGATCCTGGAGACCCGGGATTGAATCCCGCGTCGGGCTCCCGGTGCATGGAGCCTGCTTCTCCCTCTGCCTGTGTCTGTGCCTCTCTCTCTCTCCCTCTGTGACTATCATAAATAAAAAAAAATAATAAAAAAAAAATTAAAAAAAAAAGAAACGGAAGATGAAAAAACAAATGGAAAGATAGTCCATGTTCATGGATTGGGAGAATATTGTTAAAATGTCTACACAACCTAAAGCAATCTATAGATTTAAGGTAATCCCTGTCAAAACACCAATAGCATTTTTCGTAGAACTAGAACAAATAACCTTAAATTTGCATGGAATTGCAAAAGACCCTGGATAGCCAAAGCAATCTCAGGAAAAAAGGGGGGGGGGCACAAAACTGGAGGTATCACAATCGCCGACTTCATGATATACTATACTATATACTGTACGGTCAATTAATCTTTGATGGGGACACCTGGGGGGTCCAGTGGTTGGGCATCTGCCTTTGGCTCAGGTCGTGATCCTGGGACCCTGGGATTGAGTTCCACTTCGGGCTCCCTTCAGGGAGCCTGCTTCTCCCTCTGCCTCTCTCTATGTGTCTCTCATGATTAAATAAAATCTTTTAAAAAATTAATCTTTTATAAAGGAGTCATGAATGAGAAGTGGGGAAGACCATCTCTTCAACAAATGGTGTTGGGAAAACTGGACAGCCAGATGCAGAAGAATGAAACCGGACCACTTTCTTACATCACACACAGAAATAGACTTGCAATGGATTAAGGGCCTAATTGCGAGACCTGAAAAATCCTGATAAAAATCCTAAAGAGGGCACAGGCAGTAATCTCTTTGACATTGGCTGGAGCAACATTTTTCTAGATATGTCTCCTGAGGCAAGGGAAACAAAAGCAAACATAAACTATTCAGACTATGTCAAAATAAAAAGCTTCTGCATAGCAAGGGAAAAAAAATCAATAAAACTAAAAGACAACCTATACTGAATGGGAGAAGATATTTGCAAATGACATATCAGATAAAAGGTTAGTATAAAAAATATATAAAAAACTTCTAGAAGTCAACACACATATACACACAAATCCAATTTTAAAATGGGCAGAAGACATGAACAGACATTTCTCCAAAGGAGACATACTGATGGCCAACAGACGCATGAAGAGAGGCACAACATCACTGATCAGGGAAATGCAAATCAAAACTGCCATGAGATATTACCTCACACCTGTCAGAGTGGCTAAAATCAAACTGACACAAAGCAACAAGTGTTGGCAAGGATGTGGAGGAAAAGGAATCCTCCCACGCTGTTGGTGGGAATGCAAAGTGGTATAGCAACTGTAGAAAACAGTATGGGGGTTCCTCAAAAAATTAAAGGTAAAATTACCACATGATCCAGTAATTCCACTGCTGAGTATTTACCCAAAGAATATGAGGACACTAAGTCAAAAAGATACATGCCCCTCTATATTTATTGCAGCATTGTTAACAATAGCCAAATTATGAAAGTAGCCTAAGGATCCATCCATAGATGAACTGATAAATAAGATGTGGTGCACATACAATGGATATTTGCTCAATCATAACAGATGAAATCTTGCCATTTGCAACAACATGGGCAGATCTAGAGGGATGATACTAAATGAAGAAGTCAGAGAAAAAATATATGATTTCACTCATGTAGAATTTAAGAAACAGAACAAAGAAAAAAGGGACAAACCAAAAAACAGACTTTTAAGCATAGAGAGGAAACTGATGGTTACCACTGGGGAGGTGGGTGGGGGATGCGTGAAATAGGTGGAGGGGAATAAAAGTGCACTTTTCATGATGAGCAGTAATTAATGTATAAAATTGTTGAAACGCTGTATTGTACACCTGCAACTAATGCAACACTGTTCATTATACTGGAATTAAAGTTTTTTTTTTAAAGAATAAAAAAACCAATTTGGAGGTACCATTTTTTCTCAAACGAGCAAAGATCTTAAAAGGGCTTGCCATATTTAGTATTTGTGAGTGTTTGATTTAAAAATGCACTCTAATGAAGGTAGTGAGGTTGAAAATGAGGACGAGCTTTCTGAGAGGAGAGGCAATTTGGCATATGTATCAGAAAAAAAAAGAATATTATTTGATCTAGCAAAGTTTGTTCATAGGAATTTATTGTAAGGAATAATTAGCCTAGTGAGCAAGGATGGATGTACAAGGAGTTCACTGCAGCCGTATTTATGAGCAAAGAATATCTATTTCTATAGATAAGTTAAAGCACGTTCATAGTCTGCAGTATACTGCCCCTTTTAAAAATAGTGACCTTGGTCTATTCTGTTTTCATCTAACAACATCCAAAATGCAGAAAAATGTCAAATTAAATAATTTGTCATTTCATTTGTGAAAGGAAAAAAAATGGATGTAAAATCATATACATTAAAAGGTGGTGAGTTATCTCCAGTGGTGGGATTTAGAATGATTTTTAATTTTTTTCTCTTTCCCCCTTCCGGCATTGCCTACATTTTGTACATTGATTACTTGTTACTCTGAAAATAAAAATGGTTATTGCCATTCTGAAACATGAAATTTTTATTACTCTGCAACGGTGAGGCACAGATTAGGAAAATAAGAGGATTTCCTTCTCTGACAAATAACTAAGTTCTTTATTACTCTAGTAAACGCGGCCTCCGTCTAAAAAGCTAAATTCAAAGTGAGGGGGAGTGGGATTCATGAGGAAGAAAAAGCAGCTTAAAAAAAAATCTGGGATCTGCAGAAATAGTAGATCTTTATAAAAGGGATTTGGAGAAAAGGGGGAATTAACCTTCGCTGGGTTTAATCGCTGCCCGGAATCACTGAGTCGTCGGAGGACAAACCTGGACGGGCTAAACGGTTCTCCCTGCAGCAGGTAGAGAAACAAGGGGACCTGCAGAGCCACCCTCCAGCAATTTCTGAAGGGAATTGCGAATCCTTGTTCCTGAATCTGTGGAACAGGATCTCGGCCAACTCCTTCCCTTTTTTGATGAACCAAAAATGAACTCCTTATGTGAAAGCTGGAGCATGGCCAACACACCCAGGGCTCGAGGCTGTCAGCCAGCTGTTGGCAGCTCACACTAATTTTCTTTTCTCTTAAATGGTGCAGAAATATGTTGCTTTACATACACTGGCAAAAATGATTTGAAGGACCTCATTTGCAAATAACCCCAAACCTCCTGAAATGAGCTTTAAGATCGGATGGGTGTTTACCCACTTGTTCTGTTGTGCTAAGCTGTATGGGGGAGGTGGGAGGTGGAAGGGGGTTCCCCCTCAGATTCTCCTGAAAGGGACAGGACGGGAACACTAGCGGGGAACCCATCTCCTCTGCTACTCTCCCATCATTGGCCAAACTCTCCAAAGGCTTACTGCCTCTCAGGGTGCTTGAAGGGGGTGCCTGCGGCCCGGTGACACCACCAGTTTGTTGCAAGGGGCAAGCTAGTGGGCCCTCCACGCCCTGAAGGGGAGGTCACCCTCCCATCCGAGGCCCTTAAAGAATTGCTTTTGATTCCTACACCCTCCCGTGAGCGGCCGAGGAGACCCTTCCTCGTACAAATTTGGATTAAATTAATGCATTAGCTCACTTCGGGGCTGAGTCTTAAACCATCCAGTAGGCCAGATTTTAGTTTACTCAGTGGAAAAGGGTAGTTTCCTGTACTTAATTAAAATAGAATATATCATAAAAATATATTTTAGGAAGTAGAATATTCGGGGGAGGGAAGTATTACCTTTATTCTCTATCTTCTAGTTTCATTAGGAGGTGGTGCAGTCCACTGGTTAAGGGCAGAGGCCCTGGGGGACGCCTGGATGGCTCAGCGGTTGAGCATCTGCCTTTGCCCCAGGTCGTTCCCCTGGGGTCCTGGGATCGAGTCCCACGTCGGGCTCCCTGCATGGAGCCTGCTTCTCCCTCTGCCTGGGTCTCTGCCTCTCTCTCTCATGAACAAATAAGTAAAATCTTAAAAAAAAAAGGGGGGGGGGGCAGAAGCCTTGGAGTCTGTTTCTTCATCCATAAAAGAATATTTACTCCCCTGGCTTGTCATAAAAAAATGAAATAAAATAATGTTTTGCGAGTACACACTGCTGGCTTGGCACAGGCCAATTAACGGAGGCTGGTGAGAAATACCACCACCGCCCCTGCAGGGTCACAATCCCCTTAGCAAGCATCTCTGCAGAACCCTTAGGTATTTGGGAGAGGCTGGCCTCAGAAACCTTTTTTTGCTCACTGTTTCAAAATATTCTTCCATTAGCACCACTGCTTGCTGGGGTGCGGGGGTCAATTTGTCTGCCCCACCCCTGGGTCCAATGACACACCCGGCTGGGCCTTTCCCTTCTGGAACCAGCGCCCCGGGTCACTCTGAGAGTCAAGCCCCAAGTGCTGTTGGACACAGCACCGTTCACGCGGCCCATGGCTCGGGTCAGGGGAGGATCACAGGGGTGACTGAGGTGTGGGGACCTGTCAGGGTAGGGCAGAGACCAGTGGGAGGCCGGGGGGGTGCAGGGCACAGGTGGCCTGCAGGGATCCCCCCCCCCCACCAGCAAATCTGTGTGGTTGCACCAATGCCCTGATCTGCCCTTGAGTGGAAATGCAACCTCAGAAAGCTGACCCTTCCTTTCCCTCAGTCTTCTAGTCACAGCAACATGAATTATTCTGCAAAGTAGGTGCTTCTGCCCACTAAGGGAAAGGTCAGGAAGTGCCGGAAAGAAAGAAAACACGATGATTAATATTTCAAGATCTTATCTTCCACACCGCAGTGAAAGCCTTTTCTTACTTTTGTGTAGGCAAGGGAAAAAAAAATTGAGATAATTGGGGCTGTGGGGCCTCCCTGGGAATTTCTCTGGATGATGGTATTTTATTTACCTCTGCACTTTTTTTAGTTTTTTTGTTTGTTTTTTGTTTTTAAGGAATCTCTATTTCCAACGTGGGGCTCGAACTTACAACCCAGACATCAGAGGTCGGAGGCTCTCCTGAGGAAACCAGCCAGGCCCCCTGAAGGATGTTAACTTAGGAAACCAAAGAATGGCTTCGAGGCTCTAGGGGTGGGGATGGTGGGGACAGGGGTGGCCACTGTGGCACTCCTCCCTGCTCTTCCTGTTCAGGGCTCCCAGAAAACTTAAGGCTCAGCACTCTGGTTCTCTTCCTCCCTGAAGTCCTACTCCCACCCCCACCCCCAGCCCCGACCTGGCAGGACCAGGAGAGCACAGGGGCAGAGCAGGAACCCGTTTGAGCAAGACCATGTCTGTTAGCAGAGGCAGGGCCAGCATAAGAACGGTTCTGCTTGAAGACTGGGCTTGCCTCCAGTTTTTCTCTGATTCTCGGATTAAAATGAAATTTTCCAGGAAGCCTTGATCAGGGAGGAATCCTTCCCCTGGATCTACAAGTTCTCTGTTTGCAGCAGGAAAATCCCACCCCATGACCATCTGTGGGCAGCGTCTGCTCCACCCACCCACCTTCTCCTGGATAAAGGAGAACAAGGGCGTCCTCAGCAGAAAGGACCCCTGAATATATATAGTGTGGTTTTCACAGGCTTATTGATAAAGTGTATATAGGGATGTGGGATTTCTAGGTGTATTAAACTTTTATTAAATGACATTAAAGGAATTTGGGACTATACAGTTACCCTGAACAAGTCACTTAGCCTCTTTATGTCTGTTTTCTTATCTAAGCAATGAAGGGTAATGCAATTTTTTATATCCATTCTGGCATGAATGCTATTCTTTTAAGAAATATCCGAAGTAGTTAAATACTTTATATTGGGTGTTATGAACAAATTTTTTCCATTAAAAAAAAAAAAGCTCCAGCTGACAAAATTGAGCCGTTAGGGTATTTATGTCTTGTTCGTTTTCTAGGTGGTGGTGAGTGTATCTGGTAAAGGTTATACCTACCTGACTCACTCTTTGGGTGCCTGGCAATATTATTTACAATTAAATTTCAGAACGTTGAATCCCTACAATGTGGTCACTGGGATGAAATATTAAGTGAGGCTTGAGGGTCAGACCTCAGGAATGATGCGATGTTAGCAGAGAGAAGGACACTCTTCTTTACTGAGGGATGGAGTACCAACGAGGTCTCTAAAGAGAACACTGAGCAGCAATATAATCCACAAGACTGGCCAGAAACTTTTGCACAACCAAGACTTTCCAAAGCGTGGGGACTGAACGAGCACCACCCACCCACAATGGCAGCCATCATACTCCTTTCCCAACCCCTCCTTCAGGGTTATTTCTGTAGACAGGCAACCACTGTGGTTGGAACGGGAATGGGAGGGAGCCAGGGAAGGATGCTTTGGTACCTTTGAAGTGATACTAAAAAAAAAAAGTTTCTGAAAGAGAAGTCGTTATTTGGTTGGACTTACTTTTCTTATTCAGCAAGATGTGCCAAGAGGACCTACTACCCACTTTCTTAAGTCACTCGGAGCTGAAAAACCGATTGGTGGTAAAGAGCTAGAGCTCGGCTTGCCTCCTCTGTGTGCCAGACACCGGTGTGCCTTTGGTGGCCCGATCTGAAGATACCAGTCAGAGGGCAGTCCCATCCTATTTAGAAAGCATGCAGGCATAGGCCTCATGAGCTTGGGCGTCAGGAGGCCTTGGCAGTAGTGACATCTGTGCTCATGGGTTCCATGCTGTTGATGGGGCTCTACTGGTCCAGTTAATCTCTCTAGGCTTCTGGGTGCCAGGGAACCAGCAGCATTCTTCCTTCTGCATCTACACACAAACATTTCTTTCCTTATCCCAGAGTAGCCCGAAGAACAATACCACCTCATGCCCATGCTCATTTCAAACACAGAAAGAATTTTTATATCCCATCCTGGAGTCTAACCTCATTGCAAAATTCCACTCAGGCTTTCTTCATCCCCATCTTTGGCCTTGTGTGTGCCTATAGGAATCACTTTACATCATTCCCATGACATAGCTTCCTGTCTTGACTGCCGAATCCAGGGCTCATTCCATTTTCTGGCTTTGAGGATTTTTCTACTAACCTTGTCAAAATTTTTAAGAAGTCCCATCTCAAAATGTAAAACCCTATCATGGCAACTTTTTTAAAGCTTTTGATGGGAGTCACTGATAAAATGTTGAAGACATCCCAACCATCATCGTCACCAAAGATAATAAATACCTCCAGATTGTATATGAATTATATTTTCCCTGCAAGGGGCTTATCACATAGCATACAACTATCAACAACAATTTATTTAGCCTAACAAATTAGTGCCAAACAATCGGGATTAAACACTCTCACTGTGGCCCTGAGTACAGGAAGAGTAGAATAGCATCCTACCTCTACTTACAGTCCGTCCATACATGTGAATGTCAATGGGAGAGTTTCTTAGGCTAAGATTACCAAGCGGAAGCAGTAAAAGCTTAATCCCTTGAAATAAAAATAATGTTCATTGCCAACTTAGAGAAATGGCATAACCCCTCTTATTAAAACTCAAGTTTCAGGATATAAAGTCTGGTATAATAGTTATGTCTCTTGTGAATCTCATTCTTCCCTTCAAGATAGATGAGAGCCCATTAAGAGCAGATTACAATGAACTGGTATTTTTCTTTTTTTATATCACATCCCTTCCCATAGGAACAATGTGTCTGAGCGGCCATCTGCATAACTCAGGGCAAGTTATCCTTCCAACAAACCCACAGCTCCCTCCTCTGAGAGGGTAAGAGCCACAGGAACCCATCTTTGGAGATCTGGTGAGCATTATATATTTATTTGTGTTTTCACTTGAATAGAATGTATGATTTAAGCACAACTAAGCACACTGTAAATTAATTTAAATAGGGCAGTTGTTAGAATAGGATTTTCTCAGATTATCAAATTTACGTTTACTTCCTGCTGGTGCCTGGAATTATTAACTAGCTCTAAGGCTCACACATAGGCATTTGTTCCAAGGCTTCTGTTCACCTTAACAAAGTATACACAATTCTGCATTCTCTCTCCTCCTGCAGGCTTTTCATCACTTGGCATAGAAATCCTGTGGAAGAGAAACTCACAGACCAAAAAAGCATAGGAAAGTTTTTTTTTTTCCTTTTTAAATATCAGGAAGGAGAGGGGGAAATTCCTGAACCTAAATGGCAGGGTCTAAAAGTCAGAGTGGAGTTTCCAAGGTCTATTTATAGTGGTTTAATCCAATCATGGGAATTCGAGATGGTGTACTTGTCATGAGTGGCTGAAAAATGAAAGAAAATCTTTTTCCCACATGGAAGACTGGAAGGTAAATCTAATGTGAGAAATATACCTTCATTTTTCCCTGACTCAAATTAATCACCTGTATCTCTCTTCCATTCTGACCGTCCTTTATCAATTTAATAATATGGGGGAATCAGGAGCTACTCTCCCCGATTTATCTCTAAATGCACTCTTAATTTTTACTTCATAATCTATTTTTCATTCATGAATTTTCATGAACTTTTTTTTTTTTTGGTAGCAGCAACGAGATCATCAGGTGGTTGCTGTCAATAAGTAGAATAAGATATCCAGAAAGCGTCTGAAGGGGTGTCCCCAAGTAGCCAGAGGTATCTACAAAGGGGCAGGTGACTGTCACAGAACTATTTTATTTGTAGTTCTCCCCCTTCAGGCTAACAAGCTCTATCTACTTTCTCTCCACTATGAAGAAGGATTTCTGCCCCCTTTGGGCTACCTGCTTGCATAGGACAGTGTGGGTTGGCACTTGAGACCAAAGAGAACCACGGCTGATGGAAAGCAAGCCTAGTTTTTTTTTGGGGGGGGGGCAGGGAATGAATGTTTTTTTGTCACCTATGAAATTCCTCTTCTGTGTCCTCTTTACCTCCTTGCACTTGTGGGTCCCTGAAAGGTGATGCCATCGTCTGTCACCTGCCCAAAGTTAGGCAAGACTCTAAAAGGGTCTTTAAGGTTCAAAAGGACTTTTTCTGTAGAGGTAGCAGCCATTTTAATC